AGAAAATAGCGACTTCTCAGGTCACAGAGTTGAACTGGCTTACCAGAGGGTGAGGTACTGAGTAGCAAGGAAGAGGAGGGATCTGCGCTGCCCTTTTGGTGTCAGTGAACTGTTGGTTCATATACCTGAATCCATCTAATCATAGTTTTGTACTGGGGACCTGCATTTTATTAAAAACCCACTTTTCTCCACTTGTGATGGCTGAGGAAGGCGTAACAAAGGCAGGACTGACACAGTGGGGTCTGCCTGTGTCTGGAAAAGCCCATCACTGTCATGTGGAAGCAAAGTCTTTTCTGTTTGTGACCACACTGCTTTTGTGACATCTCTTGAATGCCTTAAATGTAGGTTTATATATTGGTTTAATTGTTTAGAATGGGGAAAAAGCTGGAGGTTCTTGTTTGTTTTTTTTTTTTCTAAATTAAGAAAATTGTGCTGGTCCCCATGTATTTACTTCTTTCTTAGCTTGCTTTTTGTAGAGTGAAGTGACAAGGCAGAATAGGAACTCGCACACAGGCATAGCTGCAGCAATTTATATTAGACTATGAATCCCAAAGGTGAATTACAGAATGCATTTTTGAAAGTAGTTTCAGGTTTGCTGAATACTTGCATTTATTTTGAAGTAAATGCCCAGAAGAGGAAGCGTTGTCACTGACTATATGGAAACATGTTCATAGAATCATTGAAAAAACTTTTGATTCTTTCTCCTCCCTCCGCCCCCTCCTTGCTCCATTTTGCTATTTAAAATGCCCAAAGCAATTAAGCATTTGCATCAGTGCTTAATATAAAAGAATAAAGGATATTTTGTAACTAGAACTCTGTTTCTTCCAGACTCTGGATTACAGTTAGATTTGATTATGTTTTTCTAGATCTTTGTAACAGTAGAAGTAGGGTTTAGAACTCAGCTGTGTACAGGTTAGCACCAACATGTTTAATATTTGCCTTATAAAGTACAGATAAGTTTCTCTATAGATTTGTGTGGGCCTGTATTATTTTGATTTACATGATCTTTGCTCTCTTAGAGTTGCTTCCCCCTCGTTTAACTGTTCCTCCTTTTCCTGGTTTCAGTGTTCCACATAGAGACACTGTTGTTATTTCATTTGAGGAAAGCTAAAGGATGGCAAGTGTTTTGCTTTAACAGTGAAGTTTTGAGCCTGCTATTGCTTTCTTCTGATTTCAGTGGTTTATCAGAATAGTGCTTGCAGCTGTGGTGCTGACACTTGAGGTTTGCAAGAGTAATTGCAAATTAAGAGAATACCAAAAAAAAAAGCAAGTGCTTACTTATAAACAGTGTTTTCTTAAATCCTCAATTTTAATCCACTTTTGTCTCAGGTATGAGTATTTTAATACTAAATGTAAGGTTGTATACAGATTTTAATTACTGATTCACAGCTGACATTTGCTGTGTGTATCTCCAAGCTCTTCCAAAGTAATTTTCTCAAAGCTTCATTTCTAAAGCAAGCAGCACAAAATGAGGTGTGGGGGGAGAAGCCCAGAATACAGCTTGCAGCAGTTTTTCTTTAAGCTTTAGTGAGAATGTCTGTCTGTCTCTCCTGGGAAGGAAGTCCCAAGGCTGAGTGACTCAAAATGCATGAAATACTTAGATGGCTTCTTAAAATAAAGCTTTGCAAGTATATAAACCACATTCATTACATGTCAATGTGGTCATTTTATGCTGTTTAGCCATTAAAAGCATCCCATAATGATGCTTTTAATGGTGCAACTCACTATAGCCCTCAGCTAAATAGTATATTGTTCCAGATTATTAATATAAATATCTTGTCGAAGGACTTGAACAGAGCTTGGAACTTCTGCTTCTGTTAGGAGTTTTACCTGGTTTATCTTTTCAAGGTAACCTTTGAGCTTTCACTATCTTGAGTGGTCAGCTCACAGCAGGGAGAGAAACTGATATCCGGCTAAGGAAGCCTGATTTGCACAATAATTTGAAGACCATTTCCATTTTTGTCATCCTGTTGTAGAGTGGGCTTCCTCTGTGATGGCTGTACTTACTTTTCCTTCTATGTTGCCTTGGCAGAGAGCTGAGAAGTCTTTCATATGGTGATTGCTACATTAATTGCTTCGGTTTTTGTGTTAATTTCATTTTCAAAAAGCTGTCTGCTGTTGGCAGTATCGCCTTGTTTTGCTCATGTAAAATCAAGTACTGTGGTGACTGGCAGTTTTCAAGGAGGGCTGACCAGCTACAGCAAATAGAAATGTGAACAAAAAAGATGAATTGATGCATTAAAAAGGTTTTATATTTTTCAAGGTAAATCTGTACATTTAAGGCACTTCCCTCTAGTTATTCTGAAGTTCTGACAGAGCTTGGTTTGTCTTGGTTTTGTTGAGTGAAATCTCACGATAGCTTGCCCTTGTTCTTGGGGGCGACTTTAACTTACCAGACATCTGCTGGGAATACAACACAGCAGAACGAGACCAGTCCCAGAGATTCCTAGAATGTGTGGGAGACAACTTCCTGACGCAACTGCTGAGTAAACTGACCAGAGAAGGTGCCCTGCTGGATCTCCTCTTTGTGAACAGAGAAGGGTGGTGGACGACGTGGAGGTTGGAGGCCGACTAGGGCACAGCTGTCACAAAATAATAGAGTTCTCTATTCTTAGAGAGGTCAGGAGAGAGCTGAGCAGGACTGACATCCTGGACTTCAGAAGGGCTGACTTTGTCTTGTCTAGGCACCTGCTTGAAAGGATCCCCTGGGATGCTCTCCTGAAGGGTACAGGGGCCCAGGAAGGCTGGGCGCTCTTTAAGAAGGAAGTCTTAATGGCTCAGGAGCAGTCGGTCCCCGGGTGCTCTAAGAGAAGCCGACACCAGAGAAGACCACCCTGACTAAACGAGGAGCTTTGGCTGCAACTCAGGGAGAAAAGGAGAGTTTACAGCCTTTGGAAGAAGGGGCTAGCCACACACAGTGATTACAAAGATGCTGTGAGGCTATGCAGGGTGGAAATCGGAAGGGCTAAAGCCCAACTTGAAATTAATTTGGCCTCTGCAATCAAGGATAACAA